TGGGCACACACACATACACACACACACACTTTTTTCTGACCCACTTAAGAATAAGGTACATTGTACCAGCACTAGTCACCAGACCCAAAAGGCAGAAACGGTCTAAAACTTGATGAACAAATGATAAACAAAATGCAGAATATTTCAATGATGGCATGTTATTTAATCACAAAAAGGCATAAAGATAAGCCAACTTTGTAGGTGAGTCTCAAAAGCATTATGCGATGTGGAATCCAGGCGCACCTTGTTATGTGACCATGGTCCCAGCTACAGGAGGCTGAGGCAGGAAGACTGCTTAAAGTCTAGGAGTTTGAGTCAGCAAATGTAGTTAGACCTTGTCAGACGAAGGAAGGAATGGAGGGAGGGAGGGAAGGGGGAGAGAGGGAGGGAGGGAAGGGAGGGAGGAGAGAGAGGGAGGGAGGAGAGGGAGAGAAGGAATGAAGGAGACTAGATGAAAAAAGCCAGACACAAAAGGCCACACAGTCTATCATTCTGTTTAAATGAACTATCCAAAATAGGTAGAGCCATAGCTATAGAAATATTAGTGATTGCCAGGCAAGAGGCTATAAGGGAGTGACTGTTTAATGGACATGGAACTACTTTGGGAGTGATTGGAATGTTTTGGAACTAGATATAAATAATGACTGCACAGCATCGTGAGTGTGCTAAATGCCTCTGAATTATTCCCTTCAAAGTTGTTACTGTTATATTACATTAATTTCACTTTAAATAAAAAAGAGTTAACTTGCAGCCATGATGCCCTGCCCTTCCACTCTTTAACAGTTCAGTTTGAATATCCTCAAAACTAGGAAATTGGGGGACTGATGAGATGGTTCAGTGGTTAAGATCATACTGTTCTTGCAGAGGACCAGAGTTCTGTTCCCAGCACCTGGGTCAGGTGGCTCACAGCTACTAGTAACTCCAGCTCCAGGGGATCTGACATCATCTTCTGGCCTCTGTGGGCACCTGTACTCATATGTGCATACCCCACACACAGACACACAAATATATACATTATTTCAAAGATAAAATTTAAATAATCTTAAAAATATAGGAAATTTCTTATATAACCATAATGCAGTTATAAAAATCAGGATTGTTAATTAGCAATATTGTAATTTGTAAGCCTTATAGCCACTGTCCAAATGGTATTTCTAGAGCAAAAGGAAGTCTATGGTGATTCTTGGCATTTAATTGTTATATCTCTTTATTTTTCTGTAATCTGGAACCTTTTCTACTTCTTTAAAATATTTCATAATATTGGTAATTTTGAGGAACACAGATTACCTATTTTATGTTGTTCATTAGTTAAAAGGGAGAAACTTTAGTGTTGCAAAATTTTGGAGCTTTTCAGGCATACTTATTATCCTTCACTAGTTTTTTTCCACAAAGTATGACTAATTATATGTATCATATTCTAGAAATGGTCACTAAGGTTTGACCTTACTGCCTTTTATTTATTTATTTTTAACATTTATTATTTATTGTGTATGTATAACTTGTGGGAGTCAGTCCTCTCTTTCTACCTTGTAGGCTGTATAGATTGAGGTTATCAGGCTTCGTGACAAACACCCTTGACCCTACCCACTAGGCCATCTTGCTGGCCCTTTACTGCTTTTTAAATTTCAGGTGTTCAACTCTTTTAGCATCCCTGTTGTATTAACCCTACGTATGCCTGGGAGGACAGTGTCCAGTTCCTCTAGTATCTGAAACCTGTAACTATTGCATTTAAGAGAATAAGAACTAAAATTTTGAGTTCCTCTTCTTATAACTGCTGAAGTTAATATTTGGGATATTTCCAGTTAGGTGTGATTATTTATAATCAGTGAAACTTACATCTTTGTGGTTAAAGAGAAAATTTTTTTTCTTTTTGCAGAACTAGGAGTTGAACCAGGATCTGACATATGGTACCCCCTACCTCCCACCTTTTAAAAATGTTTATGTTTCATTAGGCCTAGTAACTTGAGGTCACAGGGATATCTGAATATGTAGTTTTATTATAATACATATTATCCTTCTTTTGTGCAATTGCTACTTAAAAAAAAAAATTTCCATGGAGACTGGAGAGGTGGCTCAGAGGTTTAGAGCACTGGTTACTCTTCCAGAGGACCCAGGTTCAATTTCCAGCACCCATATGTTGCTAACAGCCCTATGTAACTCCAGTTCCTGGGGATCTGATGCCCTCTTCTGACCTCTGTGGACATTGCACAACATGGGTGCACGTACATACACGCAGGCTATATATTCATACACATAAAATAAAAACAAAAGCCGGGCATGGTGGCGCACACCTTTAATCCTAGCACTTGGGAGGCAGAGGCTGGTGGATCTCTGTGAGTTCAAGGCCAGCCTGGTCTACATAGTGAGTTCCAGGACAGCTGGGGCTATAGGGAGACCCTGTCTCAAAAAGACCAATAAATAAATAAATAAATAAATAAATAAATACATAAATAAATAAAAATAACAAATAAAATATTTTAAAAATTTCCCCAGAGCTTTAGCATTCTCATATGACTGTCGCAAAAATACTGTGAGATCAGCTACTTCATTTCATGCATTCCATTAATATTTCTGCAAGACTCATAATATGCCACTGCACCAAAATTACACACCAAATAAACCAGACAAAAGTTCGTGTCTTGAAGAATTGACATTTCAGTGAGAGGAAGTGAAGATTATCCTTTAAGTTCTTCTTGTAGGTTTATATATAAGTAACAAATGGACCCAATACAAGATTCAATTGGTATAAAAGCATTTATAGTGAGCCAACTATGGTGACATATACCCATAGTCGCAGCATGTTAGAGGCAGAGGCAGAGGTAGAGGAGTTCCACAGGTTCTAGGCCAGCCAGGACTATGTACCAAGACTCTGTCACAAAAGACAAAACAAAAAAGCATATAGAATGGAAGAGATCTTCCTGCTGTTTTCTCAGCCCCCCGTTTCCCAACTACTAAGTGGTTTATTGTATGTCTGTATAGAGATTGTGTGTGTGTGTGTATAAATACACATATATAATCCTACCTATAATACTTTTTTCTAATACCCAACTCACAAAGTAGCTTTCTATATATACTATTGTTCTCATTTTTTCCCTCACTTAACATATATTGGAGATTATTTAATATAGACCTACTACCTTCTTCTTAATGGATAACTAGTTTTCAATGTATAGCTGACCCATAATATAAGATCTGTTTATTTTTATTTTATGTATGAGTGTTTTGCCTGTTTGTATGTAAGTGCACTACACACATGCAGTGCTCAGAGAGACCTGAAGTGGTGTCAGGTCCCTTAGAATTGGAGTTAGAGACAGTTGTTAGCCACCACATGGGTGCTGGGAACCAAGCCTATGTTCTCTGCCTTTAACCACTGACCCATCTCTCCAACCCCCAAACCCATGATTTAAATATCTTCTCTTGCTAAATGAATACATGTAGGTTGTTCCTAAAATTTTGCTGTTACAAAGTACCTTAAGTATAAGTGTGTTTTCACTATATTCAGATGTGCTTTGAGACATTTATAGGAATGGAATTGTACTTTTTACTTTTTTTTTTTTTTGAGACAGGGTCTTACTATGTGGACCAAGCTGGCCTTGAACTTCTGAGTACCTTTTGAGTGCTGAGATTAAAGGCATGCACCATACACCTAGCCATTTTACTCTTAATGGAAATTGTCAACCTGTTCTTTGGTTTGCATGCCTGTCAAAAATAGATGGAAGTATCTGTTTTCCCCATGAAAACATATTATCAAGCTTTCTACACTAGTTACTTAACGTAGTTTAAAGAGGAAACAAAGCACATTTTGTACTTTGTTGCTAATTTGATTTCCTTAATGCTATCTTATGCAATTAAAATATTTGCATGGAGTGATGACTCAGTGGTTAAGAGCACTGACTGCTCTTGCAGAAGACCCGGGTTTGGTTCCCAGCACCCATATGGTGGAGGGAATCTGACACCCTCTTCTGACCTCTGCCAGCATTGAACAACACGGATACACTTACATATGTGCAGGCAATACACTCATGCATATAAAATAAAAATAATAGGCCAGGCGTGGTGGTGCAGGCTTTTAATCTCAGCACTCGGGAGGCAGAGGCAGGCAGAGCTCTGTGAGTTTGAGGCCAGCCTGGTCTCTATAGCGAATCCAGGCCAGCTGGGGCTACAGGGAGACCCTGTCTCAAAAAAGACCAAAAAATAAAAATAAATAATAAATAGAAATATTTTCATTTGTATATTTTTAAATAACTACATTTATGTTTAAACTTTTATACTATAACATTGTATTAGCTACTTTTCTGTTGCTGTGATAAAACACCATGACCAGAGCAACTTATAGAAGGAAGAGTTTATTGAGCTTATGGTCCCAGAAGGTGTCAGATCCAGGAACTGGAGTTACAGGTGGTTGTGAGCCACTATGTGGATGCTGGGAATGGAACCTGAGTCCTCTACAAGAGCAGCTAGTGCTCTTAACTCCCGAGCCATCTCTCCAGCCTCATGGTTCTCATTCACTGTACTGAAAACTGTTGTACTAAGGTTAAAAACAAATGAGATCTAGCTTTCCGAAGTGGAATATGAGCAACTTAAGTTTTTTTTTTTTTAATTTTGGGGTTTATTTTATTTATTTATTTTTTATTTGTATGAATGTTTTGCCTGCACATATGTAAGTGTACCACTTGCATGCAATGTCCACAGAGGCCAGAAGAGGGCATCAGATCCCCTGGAACTGGAGTTACGTCCATTGTTAGCCACCATCCATGTGGGTCCTGGGAACTGAAACTGGGTCCTCTACAAGAGCAACCAGTGCTAAACCACTGAGCCATCTCTCCAGCTCCTAAGCAACTTTCTTAAAAATCTTTTTTTAAACCACAAAATATGAAAGTGTTGAAAGATTTAAAAAAAGAAGAAAGAAGAAAAGAAATATTTGATTATTTTCAGTATTGATACTTCTAACAATCAGAAACTTAGACATAAACATAAAATTCCTGTCTTTATTTTTACAGGCATTCCTTGGAATTTCACATTCAATGTGAAGTTTTATCCACCTGACCCAGCACAGTTAACAGAAGACATAACAAGGTAAATACAATACAATAGTTAAGTATGTGATAGTAATTCTTGTCATAAGCTCTAGGAACTTCCCCTTCAGAATTGAAGAAAAAATGATGAGCTATTAATGGTTAGCCTAAAATAGAAAGTTCCTGGTTCCTTCAGAGCAGCCTTGCAGACTAATAAGTGAGCCTAAAAGCCTGGAGAAACTGGCAGAGGAGCTAACCTTGCTTACCATTTGCATTACTCCAAGTGGTGGGCAAGGCTTCTCTAAACCCAGAACTCTCCAAAGGATGGGACCAAACTGTCACAGTGCCCAGATCTGTTAAAATGCCTCTGCTGGGTGTTTGTGCTCATTTTCCTTTCTTACTGCGTATCTTATAGGGATGAAAAAAGCAAAATCTCATGATAATTATCTCCCCTTTAAACCATCCTCATGAACTGAATCTTCCTTTGAGCGCATTTAATTTATAAAGTAAAACAGTATATTCTCTGCAAACAGCCTGCTGAATTCTTTTTAATTTGATTTTATTTTTAAAAATTAACAAAAAAGGGCTGGAGAGATGGCTTAGTGGTTAAAAAATGCTTGCTGCTCTTCCAGAGAACCTGAGTTCCATTCCATTGGGTGGATCACAGCTGCCTGTAACTCCAGCTCCAGGGGAGCCAATGCCTTTTTCTAGCCTCTGCAGGCACCTGTACATACATGATATACAGTCAGCACACAGTGCCTATAATTCAGTTCCCAGGGGACCTGACGCCCTCTGGCCCCTACAGGCATTGTACACACATAGTGCACTAAACTCATTCAGGCACACACATATGCATATAAATAAAAATAATAAGCACTATAGCTGGGCGTGATGGTGCATACCTCTAATCCCAGCACCTGGGAGGCAGAGGCAGGCAGATTGCTGTGAGATGGAAGTCAGCCTGTCTACATAGTGATTTCCAGGCTGGCTGGGGCTACAGGGAGAACCTGTCTCAAAAATTTAAAACAAACAAATAAACCAAAAACAAACAAAGCCCAAAAAACGAACAAAATAAATACTATATACTCAATAAGGTACTTTCTTTACCTCTTTCAGATGTTTTCAGCTTTTCTTCTTTTTCCTAAACTGCTTTCTGACTGTTCAACATAATTACATTATTTTTGTTTTTATGAAACTATTTCAAACACAAAGAAGAAATAATATAATGAATAACCACGTCTACTTTCTTATACTGAATGATTATCATCTCATACTTCTTTAACTTCTTTCCATTCTTTCTCCCTTCCTGTCTGTATATTTTGTTATTTTATTGTTGCTGACATATTAACATCCTTTCTTTTTTGGACATAGATACTATTTATGTCTCCAGCTGCGGCAGGACATCGTGGCAGGACGCCTGCCCTGTTCCTTTGCAACCTTAGCATTACTAGGCTCTTACACCATCCAGTCTGAGCTGGGAGACTATGACCCAGAGCTTCACAGTGTGGATTATGTTAGTGATTTTAAATTGGCTCCAAATCAGACCAAGGAACTTGAAGAGAAGGTCATGGAATTACATAAATCATACAGGTGAATATGTCTCCTAGGTTTGCTCTGTGTTTGTTTTGGGAGAAAGTTTAAACCCCGATTCTGCTGTAGGAAGTCACCGTGAGTTCATTTCCCTCTACTGTTTGACTTTGGGAAAGTCACTCAGGCCCTTTCTTTGATCCTGTTTCCTTATAGCAATGGGCATTGCGCTGTGAAAAATAAATGAGGCAATATGTGCAAAAAACACTTAGCACAGGGCCTTACATGGTAGGTGCTCAGTAAATGGTAGCTGTCTTTACTGCCCTTAGCATTTTATTTCAAGTTTTAAACTCATGCTGTATTATGTGCCTTGAGGTTCTCAGAGCAAGAACTTTAACTTGGGTTCTATGCATAGACTTAGAGGGCCCATTTTACCTTTGAAAGTATTTTTAAGGTCTTTATTGGATTCACTGACTATACTGCTTTTTTTTGTGAAAATAATTGGTAACATTGGTTTATAATTCATCTGAGGTAGGTTGAAATCTTTTATTTTGTCCTAGCCTATGAACTTAAATGATGCACTTAAAATTTCTCTGATCTTCTGGTTCTTTGTGTGGCTAATGGTGATTATTGCATCAGAGGAAATGAGATGATTGATAAGTCTGGAAAAGGAAATATGTGCATAATACATAATACAGTACTGTAATGTCTTTCACATTAAAAGATTCAGTGATGTTACCTAATACTAAAATGACCCTCCAAAAATTGTATTTCTTCCTACCGTACGTGAATTGTTATTTGAATGACTTAATATAGCTAAATTTTACATGCTACCTTAGTCTATTACCATAGAAGTCTGATCTTGGCCTTGATTTGTATTATATTACTTGGCATCTTGAGTTACGTTAGCATGGGTTGAGTTATAAAGTTTTAAAAGGTCACATTGCTCTAAGAGAAACCCCAAGCATGGTCCCAGGAGCTTGCCATGGTAACCACAAGTATTCTGTCTAGCCCTTGAGCTGTGCTTGTTTTCCTTAAGGTTATTCTAAATGTATTGGGATGCTTCAAATAAGGAAACTTTACCTCAAGATGTCCTGGTACTGAGAGCCTTATTGTCCCTATAGGTTCAGACACCTCAGTTATGAAAACCATAATATGGAATTTTTTTCATTTATTTATTATTGTGCATGCGTGAGTGAGTGAGTACACATGTGGGAGCCAGAGGACAACTTGTAGGAATTGGTTTTCTTCTTCTACCATGTGGGTTCCAGGGATCAAACACAGGTTGTCAGGCTTGGTGGCAAGTGCCTTTACCTACTGAGCCTTCTCACCAGACCCATAATAAGGATTTTAAAGTCTGTAACCCATGTAGCAGTCATTTTATGAGTCACCCAGCTCTCACGGAGTCATACTATGTTAAAGAGAACTGACAAAATGTACTTTTCAGTGATGGCACACAGCTTTAATCCCAGCACCCAGGAGGTAGAGGCAGGTGGATCTTTGTGAGATCAAGGCCAGCCTGGTCTACATAGTGAGTTCCAGGACAGCAGGGGCTATAGGGAGACCCTGTTTCAAAAAGACCAAAAAAAGAAAAAATTTACTTTTCAAGTTTGAGCTTGTGTGCCCCAAGGCATTGATGTTTGAGCCCACTAAATACACTTTTAATTTGTTGATGACTATAACTTAAGGATATTGGGTTGTCTTTGAGCTCATTTTTAGTACTTTTATTTATATTCTTGTTCTGATTGTTTATACATACACATACATAAACCTAATGCAAGTACTGAAAAGGGATGGTCAATTTAAATAATTTGATCTGGTAGAATGTCTCAATTGTAAGAAATAGGCTACAAGTCAGTTGGTAGCATGCTTGCCTAGCATGCAGGAAGCCCTTGCTTTGATCCCAGCACCACAAAAACTGGGTGTGCTGTTAATTCCAGGTCTTAGGAGATAAAAGCAGGAGGATCAGAAGTTCAAGGTTATCCTTAGGTACATAAGTAGTTCAATTAAAAAAAAAAGGAATGTCAAAATTGGAGGGGAATATTCTTTTCTAATAATATCATCACTAGTAGTATAAGCTTGGGATAATCAGGAAAATAATAAAAAGAAAATATCTTATTGCTGCCATAAAACTGAAAAGGAGGAAATAGTGGTGTCAGATTATGATTGATATATTATTTCTGATGATGCTTTTAATAATTGTTTGATCATAATAGAATATCAGGTTTGGAAGGACTTTATACAGTCTAATTTTCATCTAATGCTTGACTCTTCTTTATAGCATTGTTACATAATCATAATAATTAAGAGTCAGAAATTATTGTAATCTCTTACTATGTGCCAGATAGTGTACCAAGCACTTTATGCACAGTGTCATACTTAATCTTTAAACTAGCCAACAGTCTCAAAGGACAGTCTGCAAACTCTGGTGGTTTTCAAAATTCTTTCAAGAGGTTAATATGGTCAAAATTGCTTCCATGATAAGTTATTTGCCTTTTTCACTTTGTTGAAGTTTGAGGAGGAGCACAAATCAAAGCACTAAACTGCTTGCTGGTAGTCATGTTCTTCACCATTATGCAGTGCTAGTGCCTGAGATCCCAGCACTGGGAGGAAGAAACAGGAGGATCCCTCCCTGGCCAGCCAGCCTAGCAGTCAGTGAGCTCCAGGTTCAGAGAGATCCTGCCTCAAAAAATAAGGTAGAGAAGCAATGAAGGAGGACAGATGACATCAACCTCTGGCCTCCACATACCCACATGTGGGAGTGAGCATACACACACACACACACACACACACACACACACACACACACATTTAAGATAAAAACTAATAAAAAGGCCAGTTCTCTTAAGAATTTTCTTGGGCCAGCCTGGTCTACATAGTGAATTCCAGGGCAGCTGGGGCTACAGGGAGACCCTGTCTCAAAAAGACCAAAAAAGAAAAGAAAGAATTTTCTTTCAGAGACCACTAAGATGGCTCAGTGGTAAAGGTTTTAGCTGCCAAAACTTGGTGATCCAAGTTCAATCCCCAGGTCCCACATGGTGGAAGGAGAGAACTGACTCCTGGGATTTGTTCTCTGATCTCCATGTGTATACTAGATGCATGTGCACACACACATGATAAATAATAATTGTTAAAAAAAAAAAAAGACATCTTCCCTTTTTGTCTTGAGACGAGGTCGTACTATGTAGCCTAGGCTGGCCTGAAACTTTGATCCTGCTGGGTGCTGGGATTATAAGCATACCTCACCATGCTCAGCAATTTTAAGAATACTCCCTTGTTTGTTTGCTTGTGTGCTGGAATCAAACCTGCAGCCTTGAGCGTGTTAGGCAAGCGCTCTTCATTTGAGCTTTACACTCAGCCCAAGAATATTATTGAAATAGTAAAAAGTGTTCATTTTATTATCTTGAGTTTATTTCAGTTTAATGTTCTGTGATTTAATGAGAGGTACACATAAAGCATCTCTGCTGTATGCTGATTGATGTGGTGCAGCTGTGTACTGCAGGAAGTGCACTTGTGATTGGACTGTGAGTAGAATAGGACACTTTTTCTGTAGCTCTATTTAAAAAAAGGACTGATAATCTATTGTCATTCAGACTTGATTATTTGGAGTATATATATTTTTGGATGTGGTACTTTTAGAAAAATAAAAACTTAGCCGGGCGTGGTGGCACATGCCTTTAATCCTAGCACTTGGGAGGCAAGACCAGCCTGGTCTACATAGTGAGTTCCAGGCCAGCTGGAGCTACAGGGAGACCCTGTCTCAAAAAGGCAAAAAAGAAAGAAAAAAGAAAAAGAAAAGAAAAACAAAAACAATAAATTAGTTGCTATTGCAAAATTCAAGCCTTTAAGAAAAATTTTAGTCTGGTCAGTGGTACACTTCCATAATCCCACGTACTCTGGAGGGTGAGGCAAAGGATCATTGGAACCAAGCATTTTGGTACTAACTAGCTTGGGCTACATAAGAAGCCCCCCTCCTACCTTTTTAAAGAAAAGTTTGAATTTTGGAAAACTTATACGTCCTACTATGATCTTGATAACTTCCAATTATGTATAGGCTTTTCTTATGAGGTTGGTAATTTTTTTTTTTTTTTTGGTCTTTTTGAGACAGGGTCTCCCTGTAGCCCCAGCTGACCTGTAACTCACTATGTAGTACAGGCTGGCCTCAAACTCACAGAGATCCACTTGCCTCTTCCTCCCGAGTGCTGGGATTAAAGGTGTGCGCCACTGTGCCCAGCGAGGTTGGTAATATTTTTAATGAATGTAGTTTTAAATATATGTTTTGTATGATCAACTTTGTTGACATTCACATGACTTAACTCGGCCTATGAATATATAAAATATATAATGTTTCATAATAATGCATGAGCCAGAACTTTAATCCTAGCACTTGGGAGGCAGAGGCAGGTGAATCTTTGTGAGTTCAAGGCCAGCCTGGTCTACATAGAGAGTTCCATATCAACTGGGGCAACAGGGAGACCCTGTCTCAAAAAGATCTCCCCTCTCAAAACAAACAAACAAACAAACAAAAGTACAAGCTTACGGTACCATCCTGCTCCTCAGACAAATAGAGGACAACCTATGTAAGTAGAAACTGGAGTAGTGGCCCTTTGCCCAGTCAGGGATTTTGAAGCTATAATTAACTCTTCAAATTAACACTAGCAAATCAAGCTTTAAAAGTAATTGCCCTCCATTTATGGGAACTAAGGAGGTATGTAAACCCGTCAGTTGTCCCTCACTTAATTATTTGAAATCACAATCCTTAATCAGAAAAGACAACAAACATTATTAAAAGACTGTCGCATAGCACTGGAACTCACTGAATAACTCTTCTGATACCATTTGCTTAAAATAAATATAGGTAAACTGTGTTATAACCTCAATTTGTAACAAACAGGAGCTAACCAGTGCCAGAGCTCCTGTGGCTTGGTGTTTTTGTGTACTGCAGGACTTCCAAGTAGTTAATTATTAGGTGCTACTGAATACGTTTTTAGAGTGCTCTATGGCTTAGAGAATACCTAACCTCTTCCCAACTGACTTGTTAGGACTTTCAGAGGTCTTGGAAA